GCGCGCACCGCCGACTGCAGCGCGAGCGAGTTATCAAATAAAACTTATGGAAATTACGACGACGAGGGGGGGCCCCGTCGCTAAACATAGCACACAGCTTGTAATGCCGAAACGCATAATAACGAGATTCGTGCAATTACCTCTCTCTATGCCGCGCGACGCGCTTACGCCCCGATAATTTTCTATGGCTGATTTTTTCTTCGCTTTTACATCCCTCTATTCAGCGAGAGAAGCGTCTTGAAGCTGCGATCGTTTTCATTGGCCCGCCCTGCGCGTGTCCTTCAACTCTTTCTTGCGAAATATTACGATTACGAAATTGATTAAAAAAGTGTGTACGAAGTAGAAGGCGCATAGAAAGTGAAAACTCTCGACTTTTTTTTTAGTCTCTCCCTCGCGCGCACGCCTCGACACTCGTGCGCGCACTTGCGCAACTCTGCGCGAACGACGACGCGTGCGGGTGAACCCAGTGTGTAAACCCTTCCAACCATCCATCTAGTCTCGCTGCTTCTTCGTCTTCTTTTATTTCTCATTTTATTTCTCTCTCTCTCTTTGGGCTCTCGAACGTACATACACCGCTACAAAGATCGTAATCAAGAGAAACGAGTGTGCGCGTATACATATTATATGCGCTTGTAAGGGAGGGAAATAGGGATTCAACCTCGTCCTACGCGCGCGCGACTGCAGGCGCTAATTGTTTATTTCGGCGTGATAACAAGCGCCATTAAAATAATATGTATGTATGCGCGCTTCTACTACTGCTGCTAGCGAAATCTGTATCGCGATATGTCGTTAGAATCGAGCGGATCTTCAGTGTCGAGGAGCCCCGAAGAGTGAAGGAGAGCCTCTTCAGACTTATACGCGCTCGAACGTGGAGAGAAACACACTCGACGCAACGTCGATTTGGTAATTTGACGAATCATCTTTAAAGCAAAATAATTTTTTTCTCCCTTTTCTCCTCCGAAATTTGCTCATTAATTTCGGCAAAACGTACTGTAACGAGGCATTTTGCGATTTCGTTACAATCGCGCATCGTTCGCTCCACTGCAGTTTTGGCTTTTTTTTCTTCTTTTTTGTAGTTGGAAAATTACTTTCAATAAAGAGAGAGAGAGAGAGAGAGAGAGCAATTACATTACAAGCGCATTAACATAATAACGCATATATAATTAAATTTCAAAGTTTTAAATTTGTGACACTTTGAAAAAGTAAAATTACATAGTAAGTGCATGGGCGCGCATGAATATTGAATGGTAATGTAATTATTGCATGTTCGATGGTTCTTGTTAATTTGCATCGTATTTTTGCGTGCTGCTGCTGTTAGCGAGAACGAAAAAAAAGAGGCAACTACCAATTCACTTGCTTTGAATAATTGATCGAGTACATTATTTGAAATTTTAAGTATCGATTTTTCACTGTGTTTTTGGGTAAAACTTATTAACAAGAGTTCACCCTGAAATGCCAAAATTGAAATCCATGAGAACTCTTTCACGAGCATATTCGTTCGTTCTCTCTTTCTTCTATTTGACGATATCCAATTTTCGCTACGAGAAATAGACGAACAAAGGGAGAATAAAATTCATGTAAAAGAATGGCTGCCGAGAGGCGAAGTATTTTCGTTACAAAACATAAGCTAGCCATAAAGCGAGAGAGAGACAGTACATACGAGCTTGACATGCTCAAATGACGAGACCTTGAATTTTTCATACGGATAACATCTGCTCGCGACGTTATCAAAATTCGACACTCATCCCCTCCACTTTGCCGACAATTTGCTTCTTTCATTCTTTTTTTTTCGCAACTCTATACGCTCTATTCTCGCCTATTGCTCAGATATAGACCTACTAACCTTATCTCCATTGCCTAGTTTTTGTTTCTGCAAATATAAAACTATTTCGCCCATTAAGTGTTTTTTTTGTATAGTAATCAGTGATGTTTGCGATTTTCGATATAATCGCGGCATATTAGTAATCCAAAAAGTAAATAGTTCATGCTAATATGTTATTTCGAAACGATCCCAGTAGACTATTAGATAGAGAAAGACCGAAGAATAAAAAAAAAACTAATTCGCGATCGGTGTTAAGGCAAAAAATTCATTTCGCTAAAGACCCAATTACAAATAACTTCGAAAAGCAGAAAAAGAATATTGTTTGAACAATTATACATCGACCCTGCTAATCTTATGAAAATGCGTCAAGTTTGCGTTTTTTTTTTTGTCAAATTTAAACTCTCCGATTAACTGTTATTGTTTTCCCAGAGTGTATCATTTTATATATTAAAAAAAGTATTAATATGCGACATTGAATCAACCAGCGCTAAGTTCATTATTGAAGCAAGGACGCACTAATCTAAAAAATAATAATCTTGATAAAGAACAACTTGAAGCGAGGAACTTTTTATCTACGTGATGCACGTATTTTTCGATGATTATCAATTTTACTCACGCTTTTATTATATTATAATACTTAAAAATCTATTCGAATTAATTTTTTTTTATCGCTAAAACACATTTTAAAACGCTAGCAAAAATTACATACGCAGCCTTATCGAGAGGAAAAATCGATTCGCAATTCTTTTTTCTTCTTCTTCTGTTCAATTACCTATACTACTGTTTATAGTGTAAAACGAATAACGAAACCTATTAACGTTTTGCCGTGTTACATTATATATGTGCATGAATGATGCGTATCGAGGAGAGACGACTGACACTCACTTGTCATTGATGTGCTTATACATACGAGTAGAAAATTGAAAAGAAAGCTCCAGTTACGTTTAAGTACATTCGTTGTTGTTCTTTTTTTTGTTCATTACTGTATAAATATATATATCGAACGCGATAACGAGAATAGTACGATGGTCGATCGTCAGTATCGGTCAAATGACATCGAGTCCGATGCGGCCCGCCGTGGAAATAATATAATAATTTTTATATAAGACGATAATTTTCATAATCCAGTCAACCCATCTTCAACTTTTCAAGTAGGCACGGATTTTTAATATACTTTTCTTTTGTACAGTAAAAACATTTTGTTTCTCGCTATCTACCATAGTGCCATGGAAATGAACTCAAACTCTTTTTTAGTCACACAAATTTGTTTCATGTATACAAGTAATTCTTTTTATACCATGTTTGTTCATATTATATATTTATCTTAAACTTAAGGTTTTCATAATTGTATGTGTTTTTCATTTTTCATTTACCTACGGGTCAAGGAGGAACCACGCAACTATTTTATCAAATCTATGATGATGATAATAATAATAGTAATAATATAATAATAATAATTAAATGATAATAATGATAATAGTAATAATAAAATGTGCTTTCAAACAATAGAAACAGACATAGAACGACGATAACATTCATAATATATAAAAGTGTACAGGAAATAAAGACCATAATAAACTTCAGACAGTACGACAACGACTCATTAATACGTATATTGTTTAATGTTCTAATACTAAAAAAAAAAATAATAAAAAAAATAAACAAATTCACGCTCTGTGCAATGTTTGATATTTTGTTGTTTTTTCTTTTTCAAATTGACTAATGTCTTCGACTCTATGATTTGATTCGTGCTGAAGTTTATGAATTGGAAGATATCGCAGCGTTGCGCTGTTAATTATTGATTCTTTTTTTTTTGTAACTACTGTGCAGCAATCTCGAACTGACATTTCTCTCTTTCTTATTCTGCGACAATTTGAAATGACCGCCAGTTCCACGACAAAGCTTTGCACAATTTCTTATTGTTAATTTTGTATTTATGTACAATTTATGAAGAGTAAAGTTCATTACACATTTGCCCATTTCCAATAGATTTTAAGTTGTCAAAATTGTCAAAGTGTCTTTGAAGTCGAACAGGCGATTTTCATTTATCATGTAATACTTAACTCACACTTAGCAACTACAGCTATATATGTAGTATAGTTGCTTTATATAAAATTTAAATGAAAATTAATGCAAGTGCAAGCGATTACATATCATAAATACGAAAATAAATGACGCTTTGTAGATATTGTTTTGTTCTTTTCATAATAGTTGAAAAAAGATTTATAGATAATGATGAATTTCGATGAATTTGGTAATAATGGCATGCCAAAATTAGGAGAAACTTAATAAATCTAAGCAAGGAGAGACAGAAGTATAGTGAAAAATTTTTATAACCGCAACCAATTGAAAAAATTTTGTTTTAATAATTTTTTCCAAAAAAATGTATAAAATTTTTTATAAATTGTAATTATATATTATAGAAATAATATAAAACAACTTTTGTGATTTGTTAGTTTTAATATAACTGCACAAGTCACGGCGACTTACGAAAATAATTGCATCCGCGATATCCGATCGAGTCTGCCGATCGAACGCGCGCTCTAAACGTCACATTCGTTCGCTTTTTTCAACTCGCACAACCCGTTTAAATTTTAAACCAGTCGATTTTTTTTTTTTCGTAAATGGATGTTTGTCTCATTATTTGCAATCAATGATTCATACTGATTTATAATTTAAAAAGTGTGACTCTTTGGACATTTCTTTTTATCTGTACAATAATCAGCGTGTCAAACAGAATGATTCGTCTAAAGCACGTCCGATTCGGCATTGTGACACGACGCGGCTTGAATCGAGAACAAAATAGAGTAGCGAAGAGAGCCCCTTTTTTGAAAAATTATAAAATAAAAAATAAATCTGATTCGAACCTTTTGTCTATCCTTCGAATGCGTGCAGTATACACGTTTACGTATACTTTGTTTTTATTTATTTATTTTTTTGTCTCAAGTGCCAATGCACGTATCAAACACGCAAATAATAACAAAAAAAAATTTTTTTTTTAATTTGCATACTAAGAAAAATTACGGTTAAAAATTATCAATCATTTTAAAAATATACTCCAATCATGATTTTATTGGGCAAAAAAAAAATCAAGTGATAATGTATGAAAAATATTTGTAATAAACCTCATCGATGCGAGTGATTTTTTTGGTTGTCAAAGTAAATGTGCTGTTCTTACCTTGTGAAGTTCCCGCTAGGTCCGGCGTCTGCAGCCCGTGTCCCAAACCTGGAAATTTAACTATTGTCAAGAGTAGCGACCGAGTTTTTTTCCCCCGTGACGGGGGGTGGTCGGTTTTGGGCGCCTGTACGCAATGTCGCAAAGTATTACGAATTGAAGCAAGCTTATTATATCGTACAAATGGAAAAAGCCAACGAAAAAGCATATGATCATGTGGCAACGCAACAACAAAAAGAAAAAACAAACATTCAATTGCAAGAAATTGTTCGGTGCGTACAGGCTGCGACGATCCTGGGAGGCGAGCTTACCTGACAGGGGCGAATGTTCCTGGCTGAGGGCTGCCATGCTGAAGTTGAAGCCGCCCGGTGTCGAGGCGAACAGCTTGCTCTCGGCCATGTAGTTGGGCGTGGGCGGATGCTCGGGCGGCTCGTTGTCGTGCTCGTTGCTGCTCGCCGAGGCGGGCGGCCGGTCCGGGGTGGCGCCCGAGTCCGAGCTCTCCTCGTTGTGGGCGTTCAGGGGCCCGTTGTTGCTCGACTGCTCTCGCTGATGGTGGCCCGACTGCGAGTTGCCGACGAGCTCCAGGGGCTCGCACTTGACGCCGTCGTCGATCGGTCCGTTGTTGTCCTCGCCGTTGTTGTGCAGTCCGTTGCCCTCGATCTTGGCGTTGACCAGATGCGCCAGGCTGTTCTTCACCATCGAGAAGTCCGTGGGTATGGCGTCGTTGTTGTTCAAAGGTGGCGACAGTACGCGCGGGCGTTTGGTGTCGGCACCGAGCTGACCCGGGCCGCTGGTGTCGTGCGAGTCCGGGGTATGCCTGTCGTTGCGTCCGCGCACCCCGGCTCGGCGCATCAGCTGCTGCACCGGCGACGGCGTGGGCTGCTGCTGCACCGGCGTCGGTGGAGAGTTGCGCTCCCTTGTGTACGTGTTGTCCTCGGGCACGAGCTTGTCGTGGAGGCCGCCGTTGCCGCCCAAGTGATTGGTCGCGTTGAGGGACGCCGCGCCGGCCGCGAGAGCTCGTACGTGCGACAGCTGCTGATCATCGTAGTGTCATCATTTTTTTGTTGCATTTATTTCGCAGCCGAGAGTTTTGCGGATCCGATCGCGTATTTATAGTGAGAGATAAATTAATAATGCGCGCGACCTCCTTCTCGCCCGGGATATATGCAACTCTGTGTTTAGTATTTTTACAGAGAGCTATTTTCAATGCGCGCGCCGCGCGTCGTCGGCGTCGTCTTCGTCGCGTTTATAATACATTTCTGGGTTTTCAGGTCAGAGGGTGAACATTATAATTTTTATCGAATTAGTTTTGTTATTTGTACGGATGACTCGTGCTTTTTTTTGTTGCGCGCGATCTCGTTTTCCGCTTCTCTCTATCTCGCGCGCGCGCGAGCTCTCATTACAATTCAAATGAATTTTCATTATTTTTAGAAAGGGTACGTCCTCCTCGCGTCCTTATATAATCGATGCGAGCGAGCACACAGTTTATTTCTGAAATATCTAGCTCTCTCTCTCGCGCGCGAGTCACAGGAGAGCTGGAGGATGGAGAGTGCTTTATTGGATTTATGTTATCCAGTGGCAGGATATAAAATAGAATTAATCGCGCTGGCTAGCACGCTCCTGCTTTATACATGACAAATTATAACGAAAAGAAAAAAAAACGCGGAGCAAAAAAAAGTCAAGGCTAATTCATTCAGTCTCTAATTCATGTAGGTCGCGCGAGGAGCCGAGCCACGAAAAGTTGTTGAATTTTTAAAGACCATCGCGCGAAATATCGGTGCACGAATACTGCGCGTGGGATATATAACAACGCGGAAATCGATAAGCAGAGAAAGAAAGAATATCCTCACCTCATCCCTGTCGGCTTGGTCGCCCTGCTGCGTGAGTCCCGACACCCTCAGCACCTCGGCGGTTTTGAGGAAGCTGCTCAGCGAGCGCTGGTGCACGTTCACCTCGCCGTGATAGATGAACTCCACCAGCGCGTGAAGATCGCTGAACGCGACGTCCTGCAGCACTATCACCGGATGTTTGCAGGGTGTGCTCTGTGTGCGTTGCGAGAGAAAGACAAAAAAAAATTCATGCTCCGTGAGAAACGAGAAGAAGAATAAGAGGGTTGTTTGTTGGAGAGGATAGAACGAAACGAAGCAGTACCTTGAGAAGCTCCCTGAAGTAGGGACTGCAGGCCGACAATACGACTCTGTGTGCTTTGAGACTCTTGCCATCGCAGGCCAGTGTGACGTCGACGAAGTCCTCGTCATCTCGCAGATTTTCAAATGCCGATGTAATGCTGCTTTGGTAATTATTCCATCGCAGGCAGAAATGTTGCGTGTCTACCATCGTAATGCCTGTTCACCTGAAAAAGATAAATTGCCGTGCATGAGTAATCGTAGCAAAGAAATTAAATTATATTTAATAATCAAATCGTAAAATCAGCGTTATAGACTAATTCAATTTTGTAAGAGAGAAGAAAAAAGAGTACGATATTCAATCATCGTTAACCTAGTTTTCCCATCATTTAATAATAATAACGCACACACGGCTACCGTGGCAAAAACCAATCAATCAATGATCAATTATCAATCGGCGGTTATAACTCATTTTCAGGGAAAACTATAATATCTTTGTTCAGGGGGCCCTTCGTTCCAAAAAAAAAATTATATTTCGCCAGGACGCGATTATCTGTCCGTCGCTAGAGTCGCAGTCTCTAACCTCTTGTATTATTATCATTTTTTTTTTTGCGCTAGGTACTACTCTCTCTCTCTACACATGCATATTGTGCGCGCGAGTCTAAAGAAAGAGCGAGAGAGAGAGACCAATTCCGATAAGATGTGACAAAAGTGCTGATAATTTAGATAAAGCTTGTTTTGAAAAGACGGACTGTGCGAAGAAATTGCAAAGAATATCATTCTCTGCTCTCTCTCTTGGCTCATACATATATTAATGACAGACGAACGACTTCCCTCCGAATTGACGTGGCACATCTGATCCACTTGTGTACGAGGCACAAGTTTACATTATGTATACACGTTTGCAACTGCGTTGTGTAGACATGGTCAAAAAAAGAGAGTCACGTTGTTCGACGCACTACACGACATTAGCGCATACATACATAATTATAATTTTTTTTGTTCAATAAAAAATTATGAATTATTTTCAAGGTTTTTAGACGAAATTGTTTCAGGAGATTAGCTGTGTATATATTTATTCGTTGATAAACCCAATAAAATGTGTTCGAGGCGCGCGAGATATATGTATATATACGGGTATAAGGTGCGTGATTTCAGGTGATAATGTGTGGCGACACACAACTTCGTGCGCGCGCGCATACACGATACACTATGAGTGCGAATATTAGTACAGTTGCTGGTGCGGAGGAGACGTGTAGCGAAGAAGAAGAAATGTTATTATCGGCAAATTCCAGAGAGCCTCGCACAGCGCAGACACGCTTCAGCGAGTACGTTTCGTTACTTTTTTTTTTGCTTCAAGTACATAATATCTATATCAAATCCCCAATGTCATGACAGAGCCGAAAATTTATTTAAAACAAAAATGAAAACGAAAGAGTCAAAAGAATCATGGCCAAGAAGGAGAACACGATCCGGCGTATATTAATAATAAATTACGCGCGTACCGCGCATTTAATATTATTATATACGTGCACATATCGGTTATTATGTGTATGTAATATTTTTATCAAAACGTTCTCGTTTCTACGTGGCCTCAAACGTGACCGATCTCCCCCACGATACTATATAGACGACGACAAGCTAAGCTGGGCAGAGAGAGAGAGAGAGAGCACGGCAAAAAAAAAAGATAGTAAAGAAAAAATTGGGTCGTCTTCGTACACTGGAGACAAGCCAGAGCGAGAGCAAGTAAGGAAAAGACTAAGAAAAGAGTACCTATATACAATTACGATTAAATAATTCTCCCTCTATTAGCGTAGTCGTTGCATGTACTACACGTAGCAGCTTACACTACACACACATGTATGTAGAAAAAGTGCAAGCGTTAAAGTGCGCTGATAAGGGGGCGCTATCTCACGATAAAAAATAAAACATCTTGTGCTCTCTCTCTCTGGCAGAAACACAACTTCTTTTTTTATAATACCATTGTGTATTCTCTGTATTTTTTTTGCTAGATTTCTTTCTCGGCTCGGTCTAAATTAGTGCATCTACGTGTGTATGTAGCGTTAACCGTATTTATCGTAATATGCACGCTTTGCGCAACTTTAGGATACGGTGTCAAGATAATGATGGCGCGTCTCGTCGTCTTTTCAATCGCGCGCGGCCAGAAGAGTAATTGTGTTTTGATGCACGTCCACACACGAGCTCCGGAGTATTATAACAAATTACCGCGATTGCCCTACATAAATGTTTTAGATGTTGAATAATTTATCGATAAAAAAAAATAATGTGCGCTAGTAGCCGCGATTGAGGATAGAACAAAATGACAAATCGACGTCGCGTCATCGTTCGTGTATTTTATATATCCGATACATCGGCAGCTTTCGAACGTTTATATGCAAATGCGTGGGCGCATATGCAGAGGAAAAGCGAGAGGGTGCACGAGAGCAGCAAGTGCATACAGGAGCAAACGTTAGATCGCTGCAGGGGTTGAATAAAAATGAAAACAAAAAAAAAAAAAAAAAAAAAAAAAAAAACAAACAGAACGCAAACGAAAACAGCAGCGATTTCGACACCGTCCCGTATACGTATGTATACGTATGGCCAAAGGGGTTATATACAGTGTACACCGATATATAATTGAAAAAAAAAAAAAAATCTATCGCCGCTGCCTGCAGTTGTGCTGAATTTTTCTCTACTCGCTGCGCGCCCACGTCACTTTCACTCCGCACTTGCCTGCCTCTGCTATATATGTATACAGTACACACACACACATACACATGGTATCTCTAGCGGTGCGCGAGGAAAAATGCACATTGGCGAGGCGGTGAAAAGTGAAAAAAGAAAAAAAGAGGCGAATCGCCGCCGCGGCATTGGGTGTGAAACGAGTGCGATAGCATGTAGGTATGTAGGGCTTTCACACTCGCGTAAACGCATGTGTGTGTATGTGTGTTTGTGTATAGTTAATCTCTTCCATTGACCGGCTCTTTCTCTCTCTCGCTTGCTCTTATATACTGCACTTGTACACTGGGTCAGTGTAAATACTTTGCTTACATGAGAATGAGCAGAAGCAGCAGCAGCGGTACAGCAGCGCAGCCAAGTATACGCGTACATCGCTTCTCTCCCTCATTGCATTAAGAAGGGTCAATTTGCTTTTTCTTCGCTCTCTCTCTCGCTTTGCTCACACATACATACGAGCGTTACCCTTGGTACGATTTGCGCGCGCGTTAATATGCAGATGAGCAGCAGCAGAAGCATATCCAGTCTTCTGGCAAGTTGCATAATGCACCGCTGCTGCTATGTGTGTGCTTGCATAAATATTCGCCTGCTTCACTCCCCTATATAAACAATGTGTGTCAGTCGAAGGAGCACGCGTTTTTCCACACGGATTTTCAATCTTCTTTTTTTTTCCTCTCCAGCGGACAATTTCGCGTACATAATATAGTTGCTGAAATCGCTCGCGCGCGCGCCGCGCAAATACCTAGTAATATAGAAATCTACTTCGACCTAAAAAAAAACAGACAAAAAACTAACGATAACGCCACGAAACACCGGCTCGTTTCCGATAATTCATAGGTCAATTAGAATGAAATCAGCGTGAACATAGACGAGCTGTTTGTTTTGTGTGCGAATATAAAGTGTGCTAGTGTGTTATATATTATCATACACATAAGAAGATATATATACACACATTTAAATCAATGGTATATATTAAAGTCACGTGGTCTCGTGTCGTTTGTACCGGAAACTCGCAGTCTATTTACGCGATATGCTTCTCTCTCTCTCTCTCACTCTCTTTCTCGGCTGACTCGAGACTGCTGCTGCTACACACATACACGCTGCACACAACGCGTAACTCGAGGAGCTGTCTTCGAGTTTCGTCCAGTTGCTGCGCGCCGAGTGTTATTGGCCACCGCACGATAATATACGCGACGACAACGACGAACGTATATACGATGATGTACTTTATGCCGTGACAGCGACTGCTCCGTTTTGCCCCTTTTCTGCACTTCTCGTGACCATAAGATCGCATCAAGCTATTATTATTATTATTTTTAATAACTTGTCCGACAGTCCTTTATTGGTCTCCCGAAAGGCTTGCAGATGCATCTCTCGCATGCACCAAAAAATTTGACGCGCATAATGTATACCATTCGTAACGCGAACATTTTATGCTCAATATTATAAAAAGAAAAAAATATTCCTCTCTTTTTATTATCGCTAACTCCTCGCTCGGCTCACAACTCGATCATCGCTTGCTTTATACATTCGGCGTATTTCTAAGATTATGTAACCGGTACACGAAGGTTGTAAGAGAGAGAGAGAGAGAGACTCGTGATAAACACCACGGCTCGAGCTCTCTTTCTCTTATGTGCGCCTCTCCTATTCGCCCAGAGCGCCAAAAAAAAATTTGCGTCGATTGCCTGTCGTTCGTTCTCTGCCATTTGGCATACATACCAATTAAAAACGAGCTATATCTGGTAAACGTACGAAAGTTTTATCTCGCTAATATGTGTCGATTGTGTATTTACATTTTATCAGATTATATATTATTCCCTCGAGGTGACGAAACGCCGATCTATACGCGCGCGGCCTGCGGTTTTTATACATATATCATGAGCAGCAGCAGCATACCTATGTATATTATAAGTGTATGTACACTCGAGTGAGTGAGTGAGAGAGAGAGCGAGTGCGAAATGTTTGATCTTTTGTGAAATGTACGGTAAGAGAGAAAGAAAATAGCACAGATATATACACACTATACAATAATAGTTATCGAAAGAGAGAGATTGTGCCGCGTTGACCCTGTGTCGCATAGACACGCATATGACTGCCACACCGCGTCAAGGGCAAGTTCGATTCATTTGGTGTGTTTACACCTCTTACTGCTCCATATACATATAATCTACGCGGCGGTGGCCGAATATATAATCATCGCACGTCGTACGAGCGCGAGTCATTCTATTACATAGAAATATTTAATAGACACATAATACATCGCGGCTTTAACAAAAAAAAATAATAAAATGAGATTTTTTTATCGGGGTGCCATACAATATCCTGTTATCAAACAAAAGAGTTAATCGTCAGCTTAACACATCCGCGTCATTAGAACGACACATACGTCGAGCGAAATGATTTCCTCGCGTATACAAGTCGCCTATTTTGCTTATGATTCTAAAAAAAAATACGTGCACGTACGGTCAAGCCAGAGAGAGAGAAAGAGTTGAGTGAGCCTCGGCGATTAGATGCAGCGTCAACGTTCCTGGTATTAGCGCGCGCATGCATAGACTCGATTCGCGCAGCGAGCGAGCGAGCGCATACTTTTCTTTTTTTTCTTTCTTATTTTCAAGTCAGCATTTTATAAAAAAAGATACGCGAATGTGTAAAAGTTTGCACATGTGTGCGCGGAACGTGCAGAACTTTGAAAAAACTGATGAGCGCGCAGAAGAGAGAAAGAGAGGCGTATAGAGCTTTTGTATAGTAAGAATGATAAAGAGTGCAAGAAACTTACAGTCATTTAAAAAAGACGTTCACGATTAATATTATTGTCTAATCGATCCTGTGCGATTTCTGCGTTGGCTCTCTGCTTATACTGCTGCACACGTGTCACAGGGGGTATAATATCAATGCACACCATTAATCTGTCACACGTGGGTGGTACATAGACGCGCCGCACCGAGTGTTCATATGTATATACACACGCCGAGAAGTGCACCAACGTGTATATATATTCGCGCTTCGAGCTTTCGCGTTGTACGTATATGTATATATGTTGACAGTATCTCTGCACCGCACGTTCTCACTATCACGTGTTCTCTCTCTCTCTCTTACTCTCTCACATACACACACTGCAGGGAGGCTTTCGAGAGCCGGCGTGCTGCTGCTGCACCGGTAGACTATATATATATAATCCACGAACTGTACTGTACTGTACTGCACCCGTTGCAACTATATATAGTTTTCACCGCACAAGCATTTATCCAGGACTCGTTGAAGTGTATTTATCACGCTCGCGAGTCCTTTCTAAAAAAAAAAACTCAAACTCACTCGATATTATCTAGGAGTATCACTTTTTATATCAACTCACGACAAACACGCACCAAATTGAGGAAAAAAACGAAATAATTATTTTTTTTTTTTTTGGCAAATCACCGATCAAAAACGGTAGAGTTATATAACTACCGAAAGTAGTTGACGACGACGATCGGGCGCGCGATCGATTCCAGAGATGACGATGATAATGATAACAAAAAAAATTAATAATTTTTTTCTTTATCGCTCTCTTTACTGAGCACAGAGAGGAGCAGCGCTGCGCTGGGCGATGTCGGGCACAGGCACGATCGCACGGGCAGCTAGCGCACAAGTAGCCGTGGAGAGCGAGACAGCTCAGCACCGAACTACTATATCGTTTATAAACTCTCTTCCTCTCTCTCTCTTTCTCTCTTTCTCTCTCTCTCTCTCTCTCTCTCTCTGGTCGGTGTATAATCGCTCTTGATTCGCGCGCAGCCCGACTGCTAATAGTAAATTCGCCAATTCTTTCTCTCTTTCGCTGGCTTGCCACCGCCACCGCCGCCGCCACCACCGCTATACGCCGCCGCCGCCGCCGTCGCCTCGCGCCGCCGATGCCGCCGCTTTTGCTCCGTCGTCGTAGTCGTGTAGTCGTACGTAGTCGTCGCCGTTTCGAGTTCGTCGCTGTCGTCCTGCGCGCCGAAGTGCTTTTCTCCCCCTGCAGCACATGTAGCAGCAGCGCGAACGGGTACTCCTGCATGTGTTCGGGGTACTCTCACACAGAGCCAATGTACCTTGTGCACTTCTGTGTACGTGTGTCTGTGTGTGTGTGCAATACGACCCCCCTCTCTCTTTATAATATAACGCGCTTCTTTCTCTCCCTCATATCTCCCCCTCTCTTTCGACTTCTTCTTGCCTGCTTTCGCATTGCCAACTCTCTTTCTCTCTCTCTCTCTCTCTCTCCGCTATATTCGCGCTATATACACACATAACGGCAGTAGCAGCAGCAGCCGAAAATCATCGTGCGCTCGCGCAGTAAAAGTATATATTTGCACGACCACTACTAGTCCAGACGGATATACCAGTCACACACACACACTTTAACACACGCAGGCACGCTCAAGCCGATAAAAGCGCGATAATAAAGCTCTCTCGCTTGCGCTGGCCTCCGCGCGCGCGAATTACAAAAAACGCGCGGATTCTGCGCAGCCTCCTGCGCGCTCGCTTGCCTACATATATTACGTTATAACCAGGAAAAGTATAGCAGCTATGTATGAGCCGCCGTCGCCGCCGCTGCAGGGATATGCCCAGCCGAAAAAAGAAGGGAGAGACTCGACGACGACGCAAGACCTGCTGCCGCCCTTCGCACGTAATACTTCTCTCTTCCGCGCGTTTAGGACTTTTTTAGAGCTCGGCGCTCATATTGCCGAGGAGAATAAATTTATATTTGACGAAAAGCTTGCAAGCTCGCGGGGATAAAAAGACAGACGGAGCTTGCGCGCGCTCGAGTACCTAACACACACAGACAGACACAAGCAGATTTATGTCTAGCTCTCTCATTCTGCCAGCGGTTTTATAGCGTCCGAGCTTGGATCATACGCACTGCGAATAATAATTTCAATCTCAAACTAGTTTCGAGGCTATCAACGATTAGCGATTCTTGAAGTATAAAAAAAAATATATATGTCGAGAAAGGGTCGAGCAACTCGACAGATTACGAGGGAGAGAAGAGAAGAGCAGAGCAGAGCTCACGAGCTCGAACAAAATTTTTACGCTACGCAACGTAATGAGTCCGTATAACTTTGCAAGTGAAATAAGAAAACACGATGAGGTTTATGATATCTCTTTGCCGTGCGTGCGCGCTACGCAACAATATAAGTAAAGAGAGGGACATGGGAAAAAAATGAAATGGGGTTGGTGGCAGTGCGCGAGAGAGAGAGAGACTCGAGAGGGACAAAGTAAGAGAGAGAGAGAAAGATAGAAGTTGTAAACTCGGAGTATAAATACAGCCTCGACTCCGAAGCAGCAACAACATCGAGTAAAGGGAGCAGCAACTGCGACTATAAGGGAAGAAAGCGTTCTTAGAAAAAAAGAAGAAGACATCATTAAGGACGCACGGGTTTTAAATATAAAACGCGCTGTAAACGCTATGAACGCGACAACGGTATAATCTCGCGCTTTTATATAGGAAAAAAGTAAAAATAATAATTGACTCTGAGCAAGGCACAGCAGCAGCAGCAGCAGCAGCAGCAGCAGCACAGCATCATGCGTGTGCAGTCGAGTCGAAAAGAAAGAAAAGAAAGAAAAAAAAGGCACAGCTCCTACGCGACAAGATCTAATAAAAAATAATCCAAGACGTTGATGTCGTACAAGTAAGGGTAAGAAAATCCGTAATAGTTAAAGCTTGTGTACAGCGCGAGACGAGCTATTTCTATATAACGTGGGCTGCTGCTGCTGCTGCTGCTGCTCGGATCGTATATAGTCATGTTTCTAGCTGCTGCTATATAATAATGTATATACATATTTTGACACGTACACAGAGCTCTAGCCAGCATCGCCACTACGGGGTGAGAGAGAGCGGGGGGAGATCCACCGAGCTTGCCTAAGTATAATAATGCCCATACACACACGAGGACTTTTTCGCACCTATTCCGAGGTTGGTAAAGCTACCCCGCAGAGGTGAGGTGGTGCGCGTCCCTGTATGTATACATAAACAGGTTTCTCTCTCTCTCTCTGACTATTTAAATGCTCTCGCAGAGCTACTGCTGCTGGGGGTCAGCTGATCCTTAAAGGGCGATCGGTAGTGTACGAGGCAGTTTTTAGGCAATAAAATGACCTTGTTGAGGTTGATATTTTTTTTTTCTAGAAGGCATCCCTCAAAATCCAATACATCATCGTGGCAGTTAGAGACAGAGAGAGAGAGAGAGAGAGAAAGGCTTTCGAAAAACGATCGCTCAACGCGCGCTCGCGCGACACAAACCCCACAGTACCATCATCGTATATACAAAAAAAATATATAACTGCCCTCTCTGCTCGAGCTAGCATAGCTGCCAGCTAGTGCGCACTTTTCCGCAGTAACGGCGGCGATGCCCGGAGCAGACGCTCCTTTCATACAAAGTAGCATTAAAACAGACAGGAGCAGAGGCAGCGGTATAAGCTATAAAATGCGTATATAGCGTATAACGCGCACACAGCTATAGCCGCACCGCTGCTGCTAAAGGCAAAAAGAGAGGAAACAAATGTAAACATGTGCGTGTGTGTGTGTGTGTGTGTATGCGAGAGCTTGGCTAGCTCTCTGTCTCTCTCGCGACCCCACTCGATGTCCGCGCCCTCAAAAAATCATTACGCCCTTCCGCGGGAGTAGTAGTAGTAGTAGTAGCAGCCTAGCTGCTAGTAGTGTGCTTTGCGCGCTCCGTGCAGCACACAGGCAGTCTGCGCGCATGAACGCCGTTTTAATTCGCTATATACTCCGCGAGCGCGCGCGCATATAGCCGGAGTATAGAATATAGAAAAGTAAAATATATAAGCGAACGCGAGCCCAGAGAGAGAGAGAGCGAGTAGGAGAGTATAGAAGTATAGCGGAGGGGCTGCTGCTGCTGCTGCACAGACGGTTATAAGCGCGAGCTAGAGCGCGCGGGGGTGGTAGGTAGTGGCGGCAGCAGCAGAGAGAGGCGACGGGCGAGATGGAAAAATATCAAGTTAGATGAAAAGAGGGAGAGAGACCCCCTTTTCTACACAGGCAGCAGCAGCGGCGGCGCGCACCCACTAGGAAAGAAAGTTTAGGATTGTATGTATAGTTTATACGCAAGCACAGACACATACATACACGTACAGACTAGTCGCGGGAAGCGAGCGAATAAGCGAGCGAAAAGATGAGGGAAGGGGTGGTAGTACCGCACGTACATTTATAAATGCGCGCCGAGGCTTGTACGTGTGTGTGTCTGTAGGCATACATAGGTTTTTAGAAAAGGATAATTGTGTATAAGGGAGGGCTGCCTCGTAGAGCTCTACCTTTAGCATGATCAAAGGGAGAGAGAGAGAGGCAGAGAGACAGACAGGCCTGAGTGTGCTGCGCAAGAGAAAGAGGCAGAGTAGAGTCGCGAGTGCTGCTACGGCACGAAATATGGAAAAGGATAATTGAAGAAAGGCATCAAGCAGAGAGAAAGAGAGAGAGGGAGAGCAGCAGCAGCAGCCGCGCGCTGAGAGGGTAGAAGCGGGGTGGTGGTGGCGGCGGCGGCGCACGGATATATCGGATGATGATGAAGAAAGAGGAAAAATGTTATATTTATACGGTTAGGAGAAAGAGAGAACCGCAGAGCCAGAGCCGGAGAAAGAGTGAGAGAGGAGTAAAAGATGAGGAACGACTGTAGCTTTTTACCCCCAACACAGTAGCAGCAGCCAGCCTAGCGAGCTAGTCCTCCCTCGCGCGCGCGGTGCCTGCTACTGCTCTCCATTGTAATATTTATTGATTGGATTCCTAGGGAGAAAAAGAGAGAGAGAGACGCGGCGCTCGTTCGCCTCGCTTCGCTTGGGGTGTATACGTGCTATATATGTGTGATGCTGCTGCCGCTCATGAGCTAGAGAGATGTACAGAGTCTGTACTTCTTACACTGCTAGCTACCACTACACAATGTCGTTTCTCTCTCGCTCGTCTACTGTTTTTTCCCACTGCTGCTGGTGGTGGTTATGCTGCTGCGGCGCGCGAGCCAAGAGCCGGGCTCCGATGCTGGTGGACCTGTTACGGTATATATACAACACGGTGTCACAGGGCTCTCTCGGCTTTTTGCCGCAATCTTTTCTCTCTCTGTCTCTTTGGCCGCTACTACTGCTATACCGTTGAGCAAAATGAGATGTGTTTTTTTAGTCAGAGGCTACTATATACGATATGCACGGCAGCTGCTGCTGCGACGACGTTCGAAAATCATAGTCACAAGGTGTTCTCGCTTATACAACATTGAGGAATTAAAGATTGCTCGTGCGCTCTGGTCAAGAAAGAACCGAATGAAGCGCGCACGCAGAAAAAAAAGAGCTGCTACTCGTATAACATCGTCAGAAACGATATGATCGATTGCGTAACTATTCGCTTCGTTTTTTTGCAGCCACTGCCTACTACTACTACTACTGCCACTTTATCGCGCTTTGTGTTGTAGCAGCAGCAGCTCTCTTTCTCTATCTCCTTCTTTAAAGCCGCGCTTAAGAAGCAACGGGGCCTCTCCTCGGCAGGCACATCAAGACGGAGCAGCAGAGCACGAGTAGGCGAGTTCGCGAAATTTCAGCGCTGCGACTTGACTCCGACTTCGAGTGTGTGTGTCTGTGTGTATTAGTATGTACTTTGCTAATCTATATAATACACGCACAGCCTGTGCTGCCATCAGCGCCGCGGACGCGGCCTATAATATAATATAGCTATAGATATATAGGAGCG